TAAGGGCCTTAATAATATTAACTTAAATTTTCCGCTGCTGAATTGTAATGCAAAGGTACATTAAAAATTCTTCAGTTGCGGCCCGGCCCGCACGTTGACGTCAGTTACAAATTTGGGATGGTAGCCCTTGCAAATATAATTCAAAAATAAGTGTTGGTAGCACTGGTGCTTATTGACGTATTGACGATTGACGTTTTATTATCCCTCCAATTAGCTCAGATAAATAAATAATAATAGATAACTGAATGTCAAAAATTTACATTGCGTTTGTTTGAAAGCAACATATACAAGCCAGTTGTTAGGAGGGGAAGAGCGGGGTTTGTTAGTTTTATTATCCAGTAGCGTATCAAATAAATGTCAATAGAAATGCTTTTGATTTATATTATAGTTTTAAGATATTTCAATGGATCAATGTTTCTAATATGAGATGTTTATAGAAAACCGTCAAAAATTAATTTTTCAGTCGACCAATACATATATTTTTTAAATTAAAAACATACATTATTTTTATACACAATTTGAATAAACGTTGCAATGATAGGTTTTATAAATTCTAAATTTCTGTATCAATATTTTTTAATAATATCGATTCTTTTGTAAATTATTTTTATTGATTTGTTACGAGTACCGCTTATATATGTAATAAAAAATATAATAAAGTATCTGTTTATTGTTAGTCCCTTTTAAATTGATTAAATTTTGTGCACAAAATATTTATGGTTTTTAATAATTGGGAAAGTAGGGTTAAAAAAACAATTGTAATTCATTTTATTAAATAGTTGGGTTAGATCTGGAAAACAAAACAAAGACAAATGTTATAATAACAGTTTAGAATAAAGCGATACTTATGTAATAAATGATAAGTTCATAATTACCGTTTTAAAATATTGCCAAGGTTTTCTAATACACAATATTTTAAATAATAAAACTTAATTTCGATGAATTCTTGTCAGTTAGAAATAGAACAACGTTAAGCAATTTTTTAGAGACGTTGTGTTATTGTACTCATTTGGTTTAATAACAATTAATAATGGATAATGGGGTGATTATAATAATAATAATTATTTAGTTGCCAACAATTTTCCTTTCACATAATTTATAAATCAAATAATTATGTGACAGGTACCTAGATAACTAAAACTAATATTCATTAACTACAGATAAATGAAACCCAACAATTTTCCTACCACACAATTTACAAATTAAATTAATTATGAGACGTGATAAGTAAATATAATATACATTCACTTGAGATGTTATTAGGAATGGGGTGTTAATACACTGCGACCTAAAATATTTATTCCAAGGAAGTGTAGGATTTGGAGTGGCTTCGTGTTAGGTAAATCTCTCTCTCTTTTCCATTTGGTATCCTCCTACTAGGTATAGTGCCCTTGGATTCTGGAGTACTGCACATTCAGTTAGAATGTGAATGGAGGTTTCGTCCTCCTCCTCACAGAATCTGCACTCACTATCCTCTACTACTCTCAGTTTACTAAGGTGTCCTCTAAGTCGATAATGCCCGGTAAGGATCCCTGTTACAATACGAAGCCTGTTCTTGCTCAGGCAGATGCAGGCTGTGATGTATGCCTTATTTATACACTACTCAATAAAACAACACCTTGTTGTAAGCTTTTATTCTCTAGTATTCTGATAAACACAGTAATTCAGTAATGGTTACAATACAAGACAAAACTCAAGATGAAATACGAACTTGTAATACGAGACAATGCGCATCTGACTCTTATTTAGTACTCGTGGCGGCATCTACGTACGATCTATAATCCTACGGGGTCACAGACTACAGATGACTGTGATATAAGGAGAAACACTTATATTAAGAAAACATAGATGGCGTCACGGGTACTAACATTACCATTTATAAATGGGTATACAGATCTCACACAGGCTTCCGATGTTTCCTGCCATGGTTTCCTGGTTATATTCACCCAGAAGTATCTTAGCGTGTCTTAGCCCTAAGAGATTGATCCAATTATCGGTTCTTATACTGCCCAATTATTTTTTAATCTCGTCGTGGACGTTTGAACGAGAAAAGTCAGTAAATGTGACCATCGCCTTTCAAGGGGATGCTTTAGATGTTCTTCAGACTGTACCTGTGGAAAAAACGGATGACTTTGAAAGACTTAAAGGATCGTAAGCAGAATCGAGACAAGTCTCCAAGAATACGAATTAGATATTTCCAGGATGATGCGATACTGGCAACCATTTTCCTACTACACAATTTACAAATTAAATTAATTATGTGACGTGTAACTATACAGGGTGGCTCACGCTCAACGGGACGGAGCTTTATGGGAAAACGACCAAAGATATAAAAAATTCGTTTGAGAGGAATACGTAGGTTACAGACGGCTACAATTTAAAATTTGTTAGATGTATACAGGATGTCCCACATAAGAAAAAAAAAATTAGTTCATTAAAAATTATTCAAACAAGAGTAAACAATTAATTTCTGGGAGACTTTTTTTCCTTAAAAACTCAAATAAATCGAAAACTAATAATAATAGTAATAGGGAACCTTTAGTTAACTGACATTATTTTTGATGTAGTTTTTAATTCTAAAATAAAAAACAGGGTGTTCCATTAAAAATAATATAACTTTGTATATTTTCTCTTATGTGGGACATCCTGTATACATCTAACAAATTTTAAATTGTAGCCGTCTGTAACCTACGTATTCCTCCCAAACGAATTTTTTATATCTTTGGTCGTTTTCCCATAAAGCTCCGTCCCGTTGAGCGTGAGCCACCCTGTATAATAAGTAAATATAATATACATTCACTTGAGATAAATGAAACCTATTTTAATTTAGACAATAAGAAAACATATCATAATAATTACATATATTATTGTGTTATTAAAAAAACATGAATAGGTAATTAAAAAATTACAAAATTTATTGGTTCCCGTACTTAGAATATTCAAATTAATTAAACAAAGACAAAAAAACATTTTTATTATTTATAGTTTTTGTTCAAATACTCACTTAGTTTCAGATGTAGAAGGTTTAGAATGTGACATAGTTTCCAGTTGAGGAACAGCTTCAGGATGTGAGTAAAATAAGGGCATTACTCCTTTCATTAAAAACATTTTTCCTCCTGGAGACTTAGCAAAGGCAGAAATGTCTTGAACAAATTCAACTGAATACACTCTTCATCCTCACGTACACCCAAACTCTTCATCCACATATATCTAGTTTGAGGATCTTTTGGAAACCTAAATAGGTATAAATAGTGTTTTCTTATTCATATAGGTAGGTATATAGGATTTCATGTAATACAGAATGCAACATAGTATACTTTAAAATAACTATGGTGTTCTAACAATATATTTTGTCATTAAAATGAAGCAATACTAAGATTTAATAACTAAAGTAAATGCCACTAGAGCCTTCTTTAATGTACAGTGTGCATAACAATATTACTTTAATTTAAAGATAGCCTATTAATAAATTCAAAGTTATTAAACACAGGCACAATAAAATAATTCGAAATTCGACGTTGAATGTTATTTTAAACTTTAAAATAAATTGTTGTTGTTTAAACCTTATTTTGAATTATGATACCCCTCAAAAAAGTGTGATGCAACGGTAATGGTTTTTATTTACTTACCTATGAAACGTTATCGAACTGAACTTGAGATACTTTCTCGAGCACACAATACAATTCACTTGCATTTTTAAGCAATTAAATGCACTAAAATAACTTAAACCACAAAAATTTTTCAATTAAAGTACGAAATAAACTCAAAATGAACCACAAAATAACCATAAAATAACTAACCTAACTAACGTAGTCCTGTCAATTTTTTGCTAACCAATCAGGTGTGTAACCAAAATAGCGAATATCCAATCAAGTCGTGTAACCACTGCTGTATAGTGAGAGGAGATGCTGGTTACAAATATTGCATGATAGGGCTGTATCTATTATTTATTTATTTATCTGAGCCAATTAGGCATTCCAAACAAATGAATTACCAGTGGGCAGGTTTGGTATATCTAAGGGTGGCGACATATGGTGTATTCTATCTACTTTACGTAAAATCATGAATAATGGATTACATTTAAATATTTTATGTCAAACACAATAAAAATAATATTTAAAAAACCCACCTATACATTTCTTCATAAATTGGCAGGCTTGGCGAGTACTACTTCGAATAAAAATAGCGTCCAAGTTGCAAGACTATGTCGCTACCCCCCTTAAATCTACAAGAATTTCCCACTGGTACCTATTGTTTGACAGGTCGTTGGAATGCCTAATTCCAATTAGGCATTCCAACGACCTGTCCAAATGGCTACCAGTGGGTACTGACAGTTTAGATATGGCAACCCTGTTGTCATGTTGTCATTAACAGGGTCAATGATACATATATGTTAAATACATTGCTCAAAGCTGGTCGTTTGCGAGCAGCCATATTGCCTGGCAAATATTTATTAATTTGAATCAGTTTAGCAAAAATGTGTTTTAAAACCAATTTTCAGACTTTAGATATTTAAAAAATAATAATTGCTTATATTTTTACTTCAAGACATAAGCTTATGTTTATTTTAAAAAATAGGGATGATCAATCTATGTAACTATCTATTTCACTCACCTTGTCAAATCACCAGACCTACAGCGTTGCCATAACTTTGCCACATCATAACCTGTCAAAACCAATGAACTGGAGTGGGGTAGAAAGCCAATGTGCATTATTGTATCATAAAACAAGATGCGACTCTATGGGCGCAGCCATTTTTATTTCTCATCTCACTCGGGAGTATTTATAATAACCATTTTCTGTTTCATATTGTTATTGTTCAATCCACAAGCTGGTGGATCAGACAATAACAAAGTGAAATAGAAAATGGTTGTTATAAATACTTCCGAGTGAGATGAAAAATAACCTGTCTTTGCCCATAGAGTCGCATCTCAAGCCTATTGACAAGCATTCTACCCCACTCCAGTTCATTGGTCAAAACCCACTGGTAGTCATTCAGTTTGGAATGCCTAATAAGAAACAATAACCTCAATTTTTCATGATTTTTTCTTGACCTCTGGTCGGTGTTTGTTTAATGCAGTTTTAAGTTTAAGACAATTTTAGTTACCTATTAATTTCGAGTCTGTGATTTCGACAATGAGCCAGGATATTAAAAAGTAAGTAGATTATTTTATTTCCATTTGTTATTAAAAATCTTTTATTTTCGTGTTTCGGGGTTGCAAAATTACTCAATAGTTTTAAAAAATACCTTTTTTTGTTGTATACAGAAACTTTTTTAAAAGAAAAACGGCGAGGCAGTTACGAAGAGCTGCCAAAAAAACAGCTTCTAGTATAATTTCTACACTTGAGATTGAAGCTGGCATACTAAATTCTAGTGAAATGATAAGTAGTGAAAGTCATCATTTGGTCAATATTCCCAGTAGTAGTAAAATTACCAGCAGCAGCAGTAGTAGTAGTAGTAATGCAAACTATGGTGGTATTCTCAATGATTTAAATAGAACATCTAACTCGAATGATAACAATGATTCAGTATTAATTAGTTCTGATTCAGATAGTTCAGATTCAGATAGTTCAAATTCAAATAGTTATATTCCTTCAACCTCTGATTCAGATTTTAATAACTTAAATCAACAAGGACAACAAGTTCAAAGCTCAAAGGAATTCTTAAAAGAGTGGTCCTTAAATAACAACGTTACTCATACAGCCCTTACTCAGCTTTTAAAATGGTTAAATACGTCACCTGATTTAAACAGCCTTCCTTTAGATGCAAGAACATTATTAAATACACCTTCAAAAAGCTGTAGAAGGGTTATGGGTGATGGCAATTTTTATTACTTTGGGATTGAAACTGGTAGAACAGAAGTAAAAGTTGGAAATGCTTTTGCCAGTTCTCCCACTTTATACACATAAATTGACAGGTTGGCACCGGATCTCACCGAAGTGGACGCGATACATTGGCGTACAAAATTATTTTATAGATGTTAATAACAATTTCGAGTAAATAGTTTAATAAATTGTGAATAGCTGCTGAAATTTTGTAAAATTATAATTTGAATATTATAATACATGTTTAATAATTATTTATAATCCATTAATACATGCGATTGTCCGGTTCCGCCGATAACAATTTAAAATTACTTATTCTATGGAACGACACTGGAAGGTAAACATTACTGTGAAATTCTCGGAGCCGCCCGACGTGGTTTGACGTTTACCCCCTCTCTACCTACCAAAAGACTTTTCAACTTTTACTTTCTCTATATCAAACAAGTTTACAATAAATATAATGACACACAGTATATTGATTATAATTTAATATTTAATATAGATGGACTTCCAATCCATAAAAGTTCCAAAGAATCATTTTGGCCTATATTGTGCCGTATATTAGAGTACAAAGATGAACCTCCATTTGTGGTTGCTATATTTTCAGGCAAGAGTAAACCCCCATTAAATTGTTTTTTTATCGATTTTGTTGATGAGCTGAATAGATATATAGAAAATGGTATTATGATTAACACAACTAAACTAAATATCATTGTCAGAGCATTTATTTGTGACTATCCAGCTCGAGTTTTTATAAAAAATGTTGTAGGACATACTGCAAAATATGGTTGTGATAAATGTGTTGTTGAAGGCAGAAAGGAAAATGGAACTCTAGCTTTTTGTAACCTACAGGCAAATTTACGATTAGATACCGACTGGGATAAAATTAATTATTATTTAAATTATGAAACTGATTCATCTGAAAGCGATGATGATGAACTACGCAATGCATATAGAAAATATTACAAAGGTCTAACACCATTGGCAACAATTTTAAATATTAAAATGGTTTCAATGTTTCCAATAGATTATATGCATTGCATATGCTTAGGGGTTGTCAGAAAAATGCTTTTTATTTGGAAAAGTGGTAATCGATCAGTACGTTTAAATATTGAGAAATATAATTTATTAGAGAAGAAAATTAAAGAACTAGGAAATTGTTGGCCAATTGAATTTAATCGTAAACCAAGGTCTTTACAGTATTTAGATTATTGGAAGGCATCAGAATTAAGGCAGTTTATTTTGTATGTGTCTCCTCTTCTCTACGATATTTTACCTGAGCATATGTTCTGTAATTTAATGTTATTAAAATATGCAGTGACAATTTTATTGAATAAAGACTTGAATTCATTTTATAATGAATATGCGAATAAGTTACTAATAAGTTTTGTAAAAAATGCTATACAAATATAAGGTAAAGAGTTCTGTGTGTATAATGTTCATTCATTAATACATCTAGCTTCAGATGCTCAAAAATTTGAATCATTAAATGATATTAGTTGCTTTCCATTTGAAAACCATCTTTATTTCTTGAAAACCTCACTACGTAAATCTAATCATTGTTTACAGCAAGTGGTGAATAGAATTTTGGAGGGAAGGAAACCAATTCACACTGGTGTATATAAAAAAAATATATATGTATCTGAAGGATCTACTGAAAATATAAAATTTTTAAGGAAAACTTGTGTCAACAACACTGTGTGGACAATAGATTCGGGTAATAATTGTGCTTTCATAAACGACAATGATTCAACAATTTTATATATCCAGTCAATATTTGAAAAAAATAATAAAATATACTTTAAAGGCCGCCATTTACAAAAAATAAAGCCGTTTTTAGATTATCCAACAGCTAGTGATATCATTCACCTTTATGAAGTTTCAATAAATAGCATTGAAGGTGACATAGTTGAATATACACATTCTGCGAAAGACATCAAATTTAAAGGTTTGTTGTTAAAAATGACAGAAACATATATTGTGTGTCCATTAAATCATTTTGATTAGATACATACTTTTATATATTAAAATTTATTATGTATATATTGTTGGCTTTAGATTGAATACTACACGTTTTAGTTCTAGTTTGACATTGTTAAAAAAAGGTTTTTTTTTTGTTTTTTGAATTCACTCACAAGTACTAACTAATTAAATCATTGAGAATATATTTAAGTTGCATCACCTCACAGCAAGTTTTTGAGAATAATTACATACTACTTCTGCTTTTGTTACTACTAAATACACTGGCGAAATTGAAAAAAAGGTAATAAAATTGTGGAAATATACCTTGACCCCATAAATATATTACATCTGACAAGTTATGGTATTATGTGGAAGTGATTTGCATAAGTGGTTGTACATTTTTAATTATTAGGGGAAAGTAGCGTGGTATAGAAATAATTGGGTTTATTAAATTTAGTTTGTTAATTTATTGCATTTCTATTAATAAATTTAGATTGCAAGATGGTTTTTGTTTTGTTTTTTCTTAATTTTTAATTTTGTGTTTTAGATATGTTGTAGTGGAATTCCCTGAGGACGAAGGGCAATGTCCCATAATTGGAATTATTTCGAGTAGCTGGATATTCGAGCTGGATGGCAATATTTATTGCTATTGGCCAAAATACTTTAAAAATGACAGCACCAGAGACAAAGCCATCAAGGACCACAACATTTTGAAAATTAATGATTGTGATACCTGTCCAATCATAGTAAAATATAAAACTGGTAAGTTTTTCTCTTAGGTATTTATTAAATTAGTTTTGAATTATTTCTGTTGAAGGAAACTGTCACCTCTAAAGTATATTCCTAATTTTGATAACGATACTTAAACTGAAACCCTATTATAAATAATAAAATACCAATTCACATGTTTCAAATTACTTATATATTACAGACAGTTATGAGAAAGCAAGAAAGATGTTAAAAAATTTGGAAGAACATTCTCAAGTAGAGGATTCATCAGATGATGAAAAGAGAAAAAAACGTAATATTATGAAAAAAACACATTTGGATTTTGTAGATAGTCTTAGTGACATTGAGGACACTCCGCCTATTCCCAAAATACCTGCCCCTAAGAAAAAAACCCAAGCAGTAGCAGTAACCACCATTAATCTGCATAACAGAAAATTAACTAATGTGCAGGACAGAGTAAGTCTCTCAACACACAAGGAAAGGGAAGGAAAAGGGGAAAGATGCGTCCAATGTTTGGATAATAAAAGTAATATGATATTCTATTATACCTATGAAAATTTCCATTACATTTTAATGTTATAACCATTGGAACGTTAAAAAAATTCAGAAATTATCCTAATTTAATATGTATATATAAAAATTCAGAAATAATCCCAAATTAATATAAGTATATTTCCTAAATAAAACTTTTTTTAGGGGTACTCACGGAAATGTTCGAGCAGCTGGCCATAATAAAAGAAAACATAAACTTTCTCATTGGAGTTTGTGGAAGGCAGGCCGCCCCAAATGACATACCTACTGAAATTATTCAATTGACTACTTTTGCAGATTTGGAAACTTTTAATGAAGAACTAAGTGACCAGACTAAATTCTCAGAAGCTGTAAGTATAAATGTACAAAGTAAAATAAGATAACTAATCCTTATTAAAAATATTCGGACTTTTCATCGAAATAAACTATCTCGATGGTATTTTAACATCTTCAAGCCACAATTTTATTTGAAACTTTGTAATCATAGTAAACTGTTTAATTACACTTAAAATTGATCAGTGACAATTTTGTTAACTAAAATTATGGTTCTTTTTCTCTTTCATTCTGCTATTTAAAGTGTTCGGTAATAAAATCTTTTCCATTTTTTTTTTTCTTGTATACAAATATAATTTACATTTATTATGTTTTTAGTGTAAATGGTTATCTTGTGTTGGAGGAAAAGATGTTGGGGAGACGACTCGAAAAATTTTGACCAAACTCATTTCCAACCAACTGGCGGTCAACTCTAATTGGACTGGCCGGAACAATAAAAACGGATTAAAGGAATTGAGAAATTTCATCAATCTGATCCTTGGTAATATTTTCTTAATTGTGTATTTTCTTTATTTTTGCAGTTTGTTTTTTTTAGTATCAGTTAGAAAAAATCCCATATATTCTAATGCATTATTAGACAATGTTGAGCAAGTCATAAAATCGTGGCTGAGGACTGCTTATGACAGAGATGGCGGTAGGTCCCGACGCAAAAGGGCGGATGAAAATTAACGTTTTTTGTTTTTGTTTTAATTTTACACGAGTTATGTTTTTTATTTCTTTTGATTATTTTTTTATTTTACAAGAGTTGTTTTTTATTTTACAAGTTTTTATTTATTTCATAAAATTTAATGATTTATTTTACAAGAATTTTATTTATTTTATAAGTATAAAAACAATGGACAATTTCAACGGAAGATTATTAAGAGCACCAATCGGTTTATGTAGAAACTAATACAAGCAAACTATGCTTTAAAAGGAAACTTTTATTTATAGCTATAGTTACAGTCTCCTTTTAAATTACAGTTTGCTTGTATTACAAAACCGATTGTTGCCAAAACAGTCGCCACCCCTAGCAAATGTCTTCAGTTGAAATTGTCCATTGTTTTGTATTTGTATTTTTTTATTTGTACATATTTTATTGGAAAATATATTTTGATTTATATTTTAGGCTATTTTATTTTTTTTGCAACACCCTGTAAAAATTGATCGGCAATGCGACAATTACCCGCTGCCCAAACGACATAGTTTATGCGTACCGCCTTTAAAGGTATATTAATAGGAATATACACGTAGCCTTAATCATACCTCCATTTTACATATGCAATTGAACTTGATCATACCGAAATCATCACATAAAAGGCCCTTAAATGAGGTGGCGGCAAGGAACAAGCGGACCGTCTGGCGGCCGCCCTACCATATAATATGCGGGATGATTAAGTACCGCCTTGCAGGCCCTACAATTCTCTGATGCGGCAAGAAACGTCACGCCAGTATCAACCCTTAAAGGCATTGTTTGCTGGGCACATACACACATACATACACACATACACACACACATACACACACACACACATACACACATATACACATACACACATACACAGGTACGTAACAAAAAATTTCATTAATTACGAAAAAATTAAAAATAATTTAAAATTTGAATCTTTTGCTAATGTATTAAATGCCATTAATGTCGAGACAGCAACCAATGAGTTAACGAACGTTCTTGATTTCCATATAAGCAAAGCCACGACATCTATTAAGTTGAAAATTAAACCAAAAAAAAACCCTGGATATCTGACGGCATAGTTCAATCAATGAAAGAAAGAGATCGGCTATATAGAATCTACAGAAAAAATAATACTGTAGAATCGCATACAAAATATAAAACACATAGAAATAAAATTAATAATTTAATTAATCAAATAAAGCAAGATTATTACAAAAATATAATATTAAACAATCAAAAAAACTCAAAAAAATATGGGAAACTATTAATCAGTATACAAATAAAAATTGTAACAGCTCATCCACATGTATTACAGAAGTCATTGATGTGGCAGGTAACCCTGAAAAGGACAATAACAAAATTAGCGAAATTTTTAGTAAATATTATATTCAAGTTGGTAAAAATTTGGCGGAAAATATACTTGCAAATAAAAGCCAGTCTTTTACGGACTATGAACCAACTTATAACGATAAAACAATTTTCCTAAATCCAGTAACCCAGGACGAAATTAAGGATATCATATTGTCGTTAAAAGCAAATACATCACCAGGAATAGAAGGAATAACGGTAAAACTATTGAAAGAAATAAAAGATCAAATAAGTCATCCATTAACATACTTAATTAATTTAGCGTTCGAGCAGGGTATCTGTCCAACTCAGTTTAAGGTAGCTGTCGTTAAACCTATACATAAGAAAGGCGAAAAAAATAGAGTGGAAAACTATAGACCGATTAGTTTAATATCAAATATAGCAAAAATTTTTGAAAAAGCTTTGAAAGGGAAAATAACAAAATTTGTCAATAAAAATAATTTATTACCTAATACACAATTTGGATTTAGAGAAAAATGTTCTACTAACGATGCTATTGCATTATTGACTAGAAGGATTTCCAATAGTTTAAACGATAACCAAAAATGTGCCTGTATATTTGTAGATCTAGCAAAAGCTTTCGACACAGTCAGCCATCAAAAATTGTTATCAAAGCTTTATGATATGGGATTTAGAGGTAAAGCTTATTTACTCCTTAAAAGTTACTTAACCAGCAGACAACATATAGTTGAAGTTAATGGAAATAGAAGTGCACCACAAGAAGTTATCTATGGGGTACCTCAAGGTACAGTATTAGGACCCATATTATTTATATTATATTTAAACGATTTACTTACCTTAAAAACGGATGGCAACATAATCTCATTTGCTGATGATACTGCTCTCTTTGTTAAAGGAAACGATTGGTTGGAAGTAGAAACTAGCCTAAAACGAGATTTACAAAAAATAACACACTGGTTTGATGAAAATCTTTTAACAATTAATTTAGACAAGACAGTGTATCTACCATTTTATAATTTTAAAAATGTCTTAGCGAATTTAAATCCTTTAAAAATAGATCTACCATTCCGCAGTACATCCTGGTCTTTACCTGTGTCATGTAGTGCCAAATATTTAGGAGTAACCATAGACTCAAATCTAAAATGGAATATACATATTAATAATCTGGTGAAAAGAATGAGATCACTATTATATATGTTTAAGTTAACCTCAAAAATACTTAGTGAGCGTGATCTTATTTCACTTTACTACGCCCTAGTTCAATCTATATTAAATTACGGGATAATTGGATGGGGAGGAGCTTACACTACTACTTTGCAATCTTTAGTGGTAATTCAAAAACGTCTGATTAAACTAATATTTAAATTAAATCTACGATTTCCCACTGAAGCACTTTTCACTTACAGTAACTTATTAACTATAAGAAAATTGTATTATAAACAAGCTTTGATTCAACTTGTAAATACAAAGGAAATAAATATTATGTGCCGCCAATATAACACAAGATTTCATCTAAACAATAAGATTATCTTACCGAAATGTAGAACAACCCTCTCGCAACGCAGTTATTCATACGTCGGATTAAAAGTTTATAATTCACTGCCTCAAGAACTAAAGTCAAAAATTTATTATAAAAACTTTAAAACTATTATTGCGAAATTGATTTTAAATGAAACTATAGATATAATCGTTAGCAATTAAAATAAAAAATAAAAAAAAATAAAATAAACTAAGATGGAACAAACTAAAATTCTATAATAAAATTGAATATTCATATACTTACCCTAAAACTATCACTTGCTTTTGAAATGTATTGTTCAGCTAAAGGTGTGGAAATATTTTTTGGGTTATAACATTTTTAATTGTTTTTTTTTTCTCTCTTCCTTTCTTTTTGTCATGTAAAATGAAAAGAAAAAAATCATAGATGACGAGGCAAGCTTATTGCTTATCTACCTGACATACAGTGCCTGAGAAGCTGTCCAGTTTATCCTTAGATTCTCATTTTCTGGATGTCCGGTACTCAGTGTGGCTTCCTCTGTTCATTTATTCATTTTTTTTTATTATAAAACAATAATTATATGAGCTGTATTGTTATTGTTATTATTACCTAAATTGTTTTATAAAGCGATACAAGTATTTAATACTTATCGCTTCGCACCACTTTATTTAATATTTGTTATTTTTATTATATCATATTATATTTTTATGGTACTTCTTTTTTAGGAAGAATCATATTTTTTTATTGTATATATAGATATGATTCATATACATATGTAATTTATTATTGAATAAAGTTATATTATTATTATTATTATTATTATTATTATTATTATTATTATTATTATTATTATTATTATTATTATTATTATTATTATTATTATTACATACACATACACATACACACACACACACAGACAGACATCATCGCGAAAATAGTCAAAACGGATTCAGGGGACCTCAAAACGTAAAAATCCGTCGAAAACTCGAGGTCGAAAAAAATCATGATTTCTATACTTTCCTTATATCTGTATACAGATAGGAAAGTAAAAATACAAACCACTGGAGCGCGTTCAGATTATTTTACACGGGAGTCGACCATGAAGGTAGAAGGTATAAGGAGACACTATCACGTGGTCCAAGCCGGATTCACTGCCGTCATATTAGGTCTTTTCCTTTGCATCGAAAGTGTAGCACTGAGCTACACCACTTCTGAAAATATCGTTCCATTTATACAAATTGTACAATAGAAAGTCAAATCGGGTAACTTTGGACCAATGGGGCAACATTAGACCAGACCATGAATAAAACTTTGTTTTTTTTTATAAATTATGTTCTTATTTACGTTCCAACACAAACGTATCTGGCTGAAATGCCACTAAAGAAAGGTTCTAAAAAAGAAGATATCATTTTGCTGGTGTCCTTGTCAAATGTCAAATTTATTTATTTAGCTGTTGTGTATTTAGATCAGTGCTGCCGTTTCGGTACAATTGTACTGAATTCAGTACAAAAAACGTTCATTCAGTACGCAAGTACTACATTTTAAAAACTACCCCATTTTCAGTACGAAATTGAATTGAATACCAGACATAATAAAATACTATACGAACCGAAATAAAATACAAATACGATACGAATACATACATTTGAATTTAATCTAACACACGTGTTTGGTTCAACTTCAGTTAAAACTATGTATTCTACATTTACATTCAAATTAATAGATGTGCCATCTATTAGCGAATTATTCAACCCTTGCTCGACCTGGCAACATACAGAGCATGATGAGAAGAAAAAGACTGTTAACTTCTGGGATTTCGCAGTTGGTCAGCTCGCGACAGTTCGCGTGATGGCGCCGCTTCATGATTGACATGAGTAATTCACAGAGTTATATTCCTATTCCTGGGACTGAGGACTGAGTTTATTTTTGATTCCTTTGTTTTGTCTATCGTTTTATTTATCTGCTCTTCGCTTTTGTGATTACATTGATCATTGCATAATAGTACTAAGGCTGAAATAGTATTTTTTGTATTTTATTTTGAAAATGGATAGGTAAGTGTGATTTGTATATATCGTTAGCTTTCAAGATTTCTTGGTAGTATTCGTAGGTATGTACCACAAAAAATAATAACCATGATTAAAATTTTCTTTGATTAGTAGGACAAAAGGGCTCCAGTTACAGGAATATTTTTTATGCAATATAAAGGCTATTCAAAGATCTACCTCTTGTACGAAAAAGAGCCAAACCTATTCAAGGGTTATTTCATAAAAAATTCTAAAATTTAATTTATGGACATTATTTTTTGGTTCGGTCTTACATTTAAATAACTCAGTTTGTTATTTCAAGGAATCGATTTAAAATTTTAGATTCATTATTCGTACGAAAATTGTGAAACAATCAGAAACGGATCAGGCTTCAACTTCACACCAAAGCCAAACCAGTAGCGATGAATTTGATGATCAATCCAATGAAAACGCCCAGGATTCCTCTATGAAAGTGGATAGCGATCCAACGGCGCGTAAACGGAAAATTTATGATGTGAAGTACCGAGAAAATTGGAAAATAGTAAGTGCTAACATGATGTATAATATATATTTATTTCCATTATTTAACAATAACCTACTAAGGTAAGCTGTTATTTATTGGATGAGATTGAAACTCGGCGCGCAAAAAAAAATTATTATATGATTTTTTTCAGGAATTTAAATGGCTAACAGAAAAATCCCAAAAAGCATATTGCACTTTCTGCAACAAGTCTCTTTCTGGCGGGAAGAAACACTTGCAACGACACTCCGAATCTGAGATTCATAAGAAAAATGAACGAAAGCTTCAAGGTACAGTAGACATACCCACAACTTTGGCGAAGGTCCCCAGTAATCTATTTAACAAAGAAGTAAAATCAACTGAGCTAAAATTAGTAATGTTTGCTATGGAGCACAATCTATCATTCGTACTATTTGAACATTTACCCAAATTTATTTGCTCTCTACCAGAAAAATCTGTCTTACAATCAGTGAAATGCTCTCGAACTAAAGCGGCAAGTCTAGTGAATAATAAGATTGGCCCTTTTTCTCAGGCTGCCTTAGCAGATATTTTAAAAAAGTGTTTTTTCTCTATTATAATAGACGAGACTACCGACATTTCAGCAAAAAAATGTTTAGTTATTATAGTAAGATATTTTAGCCAAATAGAAAAAAAGGTAGACTCATTCTTTGGACTAATAGAAGTTGTATCAGCGACAGCGGATTCCATATTTAAAGCCGTAATCAGTCTTATTGAAAAACTTAATATTCCCATAGCAAATATTATTGGATTTTCTTCCGATAATGCGTCTGTTATGATGGGCCATATTAATGGCGTAAAAGCCAAATTTATGGAGATTATCCCAAACATATTTGTTATGGGATGTCTTTCGCACTCCATGCATTTATGTGCTTCAAAAGCTTGTGCAAAATTGCCGAACGAAGTAGAAGATTTTGCACGAAATATTTATAACTACTTTGCCCACAGCGCAAAAAGACAACATGACTTTAAAGAGTTTCAGCAATTTGCTGAAGCAGAACCTCACAAATTACCGAGACCTTGTCAGACAAGATGGTTGTCTTTAGAGGCTGTGGTCAATAGAATCTTAGAACAATGGGATGCTCTAATCCTATATTTTCAAAGTGAAGCTTTGTTAGAAAATGTTTATGGAGCACAAGAAATTTTAAATTCTTTGATAAACATAAAATTTAAAATATATTTTCGATTTCTGCAGCATATTCTTAAAATAGTTTGTAAAATGAATTTGGAATTTCAGAGCGAATCACCCAGAATTCATAAACTAATACCTATAATATCAATGTATTTTAGGACCATTTGTAATTTTTTTTTAAAATCCGAAGTGATGACCAAAATTGAAATTGCTAGAATAAATCCTCAAAATCCCGATTATTTTAAAACTCTCGATGATATATATTTCGGTGCAAATTTTGAGATGGAACTCAATAAGAACATTCATAAATTATCAAAACCGGAACTAGAACAAATCAAACTAAATTGCCTTAATTTTTACATAGTTCTATGTACTGAAATTAGAACGAGGGTTGATTTTAAAAATTAAGTTCTAAACGAAATCTCAAATATTCTTAATGTAGACAGAATATTTAAAGAAAATAAGCCACCCATAACTCCGTTAGTAACAAAATTTCCAAATATCATACCTAACGATTTGATAGAAAACATTAATTTGGAATGGCGGCTGCTCTGTAATTTTAATACCGATCAGGAGTTTGAGAAAATAGAAGATTTACTTCTTTATTTGGAAGGCATCAAAGATCCTAAAGGGGATAAAATGTTCGGAAACCTACTAACTTTTTTTCAAGCTATCATCAGTTTGCCACACGGAAGTGCAGCAGCTGAAAGAATTTTTTCACTCTTGGCAATAATAAAATCCAGATATAGAAATCTCTTAAATATAGAAACTATTGAAAATATTTTATTGGCTAAACTCATGTTGAAAAATAATAACTGTTTCGAGTGGCAACCCTCTGAAAGTCTTATTAATTTTCAAAAGGAAAATAAGAACCCATAATTTTCGTTCTTTTTCATATATTTTATTAAAATGCATTTTATTTTACTTAGAAGAAGCTCACTGTGTAGTATTCTATTGTAGAGTTGAAATGTTTAAGTTGATGTTAGTTTACTATTTGTAGCGTAATATTCTGTATTATACTGTTCTTGTGTATTTTCATGAATAAAAAACGTTCATATTTGAATTCAAATATTTTATGTCTTCTAACCATCTAAGCATATTGGAAAGTTTAGTTCAATTGATTTATTGTAAAAAAACTCAATTTCAAACTGAACCAATCCAGTTCCGACTAAAAAAGTACATTTTGACCAAATTCAGTACATTTTTAAGATAATTGTCAGTACGTTTTTTACATTTGCTGCGGCAACACTGATTTAGATGTGTTTAGGTACTGCAAACTAAATTTACATTTTCGGAGTGTTTAACCAGAAAAAAATAGGTAAGTGTTGTAATTCATAATAATATAAGTATATTTAATTGTGTTTTATTAGTTTGTTTGGTTTTTTATTTGTTAATTTGGTCACAATCTCGAAACAAGAATTACATGTAGAAAAAATATGTTTATTGGGGTAACTTTGGCCGGTCCAAAGTTACCCGAATATTAAATTTTAACAGGCAGCTAATAATATGGTAACATTGACATGCCCATACAAATGTATGCATATTTTAAAAATATTTTTTTTAATGTTAAATTATACAGGGTGAATCATATTCAATGTTCTAGACTTTTAAAGATAAAGTCTATACATACAAACATATACTTTAAAAAACTTTTCTTTTACAGAAATGCCTCGAAAAAGTTCAAACCGTAAACCTGGTGTACGTAAATATGGAATTATTACCAATTATTCCAGTGAAAAGCTTGAAGAAGCTGTAGAAAAAATAAGGTCGGGAGCCTTAAGTCAAAGACAAGCTGCTAAGGAATATAATATACCTAGAAGCTCCTTGAATATTAAACTCAAAAACCAACACAATAAAGCGGTAGGTCGCCCCTTAAGTTTAACAACCGAAGAAGAAATTTTATTTAGAGATCACTTGCTTACTCTAAGTGATTTAGGAATACCTATCGGACTAAATGACTTTAAAGATGTAAAAAAATATTTAGATGGTGCTGGAAGAAAAATTTCAATCTTCAAAGAGAACAGACCTGGGTACGAATGGGGAAAATTATTTTTACAAAGGCACCCAGACATTAAGCAGAAAGTTGCTCATAATATATCACGAAAACGAGCTCAAGTTAATGAGCAAATGGTTAAAGATTTTTTCGATCGTCTTAAGAAGGAGCTGGATGGTGTAAGTCCCGAAAACATTTATAACATGGATGAAACCGGATTTCACGACGATCCTGGGAAGAAGAAATTACTGTTTCGCCGCTCGACTCGTCATCCCGATTTAATTCGAAATTCTACGAAATCCTGCTACACCGTAGTATTTTGTGGTAATGCTGCCGGAGAATTTATTCCTCCATTTTTTATTTTTAAAAGTAAAAATAGTTGGTCTGATTGGTTATTTAATGCTCCAAAATTGTCTAAACTGGCTGTGTCAAAATCTGGTTGGATTGATTCTGACATTTTTGAAGAATGGCTAGAAAAACATTTTATTCCGATATTGGATAAAAAAGAAGGAAAAAAAGTACTTCTATGTGACAATCTAAGTGCCCATCTAAGTCTCAAGGCTTTGAGACTCTGCGAAGAACACAATATTCGATTTATTTGTCTAATTCCAAACTCCACACATCTTTTACAGCCTTTAGATGTAGGATATTTTGCATCTTTAAAAAGCTCATGGAGATCTATACTAAATAAGTGGCGTCAAACAGTACGGGGAAGAAAAGTGGCAGCTCTTCCTAAAAATATGTTTGCTCAACTCGTTAAAGAAACTCTTAAAATGGGACAAGCAACAGCAGGACCTAATTTAATTACTGGTTTCCGAAAAACTGGAATTTATCCACTTTCAAGCATGGAGGTTTTACAAATTTTACCTTCGTATGCAAACAACAATATACAAGAAAATATTGGAACAACGTTTAAGGAATATTTGAAAGAATTAAGGGACACTGACTTAAACATTAGAACAGCTAAGAAATTTCAACTGCCTGTTGTAGCAGGCAAAGCAGTTTCAGCTGAAGAAGTGGAAAACTTTTATAAAGCCAAAGAAGAAGAACTTCGAAAAAAAAAAGAAAATCCAAGTAAAAGAGGAAGACCACTGGGCTCTACAAATAAAACAAAAAAGAAAAACCTGCTAACAATTCAAAATCTGCAGTTACTTCCGAGCTGGAAAATATACAAGAAGACGATTTGCCCCACCCCACAGTAGTTACTTCTGGGCAAGAAATGTCCACACAAAAAGACGATTTAAACAAGTCTCAAGAAAATTGTATGTCTATTAATCAGCCTGTGAAACCTTTAAACCAAGAACTGAAGATGAACTAAATGTACTTTCAAATAATACAGATGAGGGAAAACGGTTTAAAAGAAAAAAACCAATGGCCCAAAGAAATAAAGCAAAAATCGCAAAAATAGAAGAAGAGCCAGAATTAGACTCAGATCCAGAGCAGCCTATTGTGATTACAGTACAAGCTCAAGTACATGCTACTACTGATAAATGTCATGATGCAGAAGAAATGGAAAACATGAACCAATCTCCAAATATTCCGATTTTCAATCAGACAGTTGAGATTTCTCAGGAAATTCCATTAATTTATTCCGTTGGTGAATATACTCCAAGTCATGAAAAGGAACCATCAGTAATCTCTTGCACTGACATCAATGTTTATAATAGTGATGAAAATATTCTAGGGGAATATATTGTTCATGACAAAGGAAAACTGATTCAGGTGAAAAGGCCAGATGAGACTTATATAGCTGGTCAATTTTGTATCATTAAAGATGAAGATACCCTGTATCCAGGGCGAATACAAAATGTTAAGAAAACACATGGATCGTTTACTGTATGGGTTAATTTACTTGTCAAAAACTTCAAAGGAGGCTGGATATGGCCAATAAAAAAAGATGTGATAAAGATTACTGAAGTTAAAAATATAATTAAAGTGTTAGACCACAATAAAATTAGCCAAAAACAGGATATATTAAATATTGATGACGATTTTTTAAATATAGAGTGGGGGAACTAAAATTTTTTTGTAGTACATAAGTCACTTAAAAGAATAAAGAATTTTTTGCAATGAACAATAACGTGATTTTATTTACTGTTAACGTCTAAAAACGAAAGATATCCTATAATTTACAATAGGGCCCACAGATAATTACAACTTCAACCTAGTCTGTAAAAAAAATAAAAACTTAACTACAAAAAAAATTATAACTAATACCTGACCTGGGGTCTCTAGATTAAAAATAATATGGCGTAATCTTACCTGGAGCCTTTAAATTGTAAGAAATCAGTAATTTCTCACGATGAAAATACTTTGGTCAATGTTACCCCCAAATCCAATATAACTTTGGACCACACCCAAAAATATATTTTTTTTATATTTACAATAAATTTTAATTTTTTTAATTTTAAAATTCATATAGACCATTTTACAGGAACACCAGTAGGTGCATTATTCAATATAATTGTGCAACAATAACAAATAAATTCAGATTTATAATAAAAACCTGGTCCAAAGTTACCCGATTTGACTGTATCTTAATTGTGTTTTTTTCTTATGGAATCAGTTTTTATTTGGAAGTTCATAAAGTTTTTTGTTTTCTGTATTTCCGAAATAATGGAAAATAAAACCATTTGTGCTGTTTTTAAAAAACGTTTTAAGTTTTTGTTTTGAATTAACTTTAAATAACTACATATGTTAGGTATTTACGCGTTTTTTCCTTAATTTATAATATTTATTTTATGTTGATATTTCTCATAATTAATTGGATGCTAGTGACCCTTAATATTTTTATCAAAATAGTTTAATTTATTTGTTGCCAATATAATGGGAATCACTCGCGCCGGCGCACATCTGTGCGTTTGTAAAAAGGACATTTTTTGGATTTTAAACCGACGAGTACCGTATGATCCGCTGAAGTGTTCGCAAGGAAAAATAGAAATATTTTGTTATTTTGTTCGTCGGTGTTCCGTTTTCCCAAGAAGAAAACGTGTGGGGCCCCCTTCAAGAATTCCAGAACGCAGACACTACTAGGTGAGTCTCCTTAAAATATTGGCTTCTTCAGATTCTTTTTTTGTTATTTAAATTTAATTATTTAAACGACCGACTAAAAGGAATTAAGGTTCTCTTGCAATCCAGAAATTGAGTTATATCTAAGGGAATAATCTACAACATAGTAAAAAATAATCTTGAGGACGAAGTGCCGAAGAAATATAATTGACGATCAAACGAACTTACCTGTGAAGTTCGATCGTAATTATATTCTGAGGCGCTTCGTCCAAAGAGATTATTTTCCCGCAATCCACCCGCCCAATTTCAAAACAAAACATCTCTAAACAAAATGAAGTATTCGACAGAATGGCCTGTTGCTGCTCAAATTTTCAGCTATCTTTAAAAGTGCTGCTCATCCTAGTAC